ATTTTGTTTGTGTTAAAAACTTAGACATACGTATCCCCGGCACACATGAGATACTGATGTGTAGGTTTCTAAAGCAGGAAGAACAGCTAGGTTGAATTATTGTAGATTTCCCACTCACTAATCGTGTTTGTACCTTGAGAGTTAGCTTTGAATAAGCTTCTTTTAGGGGTTTCATAATAAAATCATGCTATGGGTCCAATATCCGAGTTGACGATTTTGTAATGAATAACTGAAAGACTGGGAAGTTCTTCCCGTAATGCAGATACCATCTGTTGTCCAACTGAACTGATCATCATTTGAGGATTCATTCTAGCTGACCCGCTCGAGTCATTGAAAATGAGTCATTCAGATATTTGAATTGGTCAAATCATGATAGTTAGTTTGCTCAAGGATATGCCGGGTTCGTCACTAGTTCTCATCCCGGTCGGGTTTAATTAAGGGATCTGTTAAAACTGCGACGGCACTGGACGTGTTCCTTTTGGCAGTAAATTTCATAGGTGCCACTGTAATGTAACTTGCGATTTTCTTGTATCAGTTATGCGAACTCAGACAACTGATTCTGTGTAATTTTATTCTGGTGGGCTGTCTGCGTTTTCACATGGGCGATAAACAACTCTGAAATTGAATTAATGTAGTCATACTGTCAACGTGTTGACCGTTCAGCGTGTGGATCCGGGATAAGGGTTTCTTGTGCCAACCGGAGGATTTACGGTTCGGGTCCCGACCAGTGAACGAAAATCCCGCAATGTTAACGAGTCCCAACAAGGACGAGACAGCTGTTCCATGCTTTTTGTTGATCATCACCGCACATAAAATCATGGGAATAATCTAAATTATGATATCGACGGTTTACTTTTCTTGAAATGCTGTGGATTGGAATTGTCAGGTGGCTAGAATTTTATACAATAATTCTTCCCCAAATAGATGGACGGCATTTCCCACCGAATGATATGTCAGATCTATTAATCCCCAGTAGTGTGACTGTTAGCATAGATACTTACTAACGTTCTGGTTATTCATTTTTTTAGCCCTACCACTAACAAACGAAACATGACAAAAACTATCAATCACGTGTCTCACTTGATTGATTGATCGATCTGTATTGTGATGAAAGCATTTTGAGTAAAATAAACCTCGTCGGTGAGAACAAATTTAACAATATTACAGCAAATCGTCTTTCATTGTCTTGGCAGTACAAATATCGATGAAATAGATTGGCATATAAATCAATGTAGAGATGAGACGTCAAGAGACCGCCGAAACTGTGAATCCGTCAGGCGTCATACACACACACACGCGCGCGCGCGCACTCGCGTTCGCCCCCATGCTTGTGCTTTTCATCTTTCCTCGGTAGGTCAGTTTTGCAAGGCCTTATCACCTGTGGTATTCGTGTTCAGCACACACGCGCGCCCTTCATCACGCTCTTTCACGCTTTGTCGCCCGAGGCGAGTAGGTATATACAGCAGCAAATTTTGGAGAATGTTTTTTTACTGTTCTTCGGTTTGACTCAAACAAAGACGTTCATGATCATGAGCGACTGCAGTGAACCAAGCGGTAGTCTAATGATAATCACATCCTCAACTTTGCGGACCATGTACCATTGGCGTCGCTTTTGAGAAACAAATTAAGAAAATGAGTGCTTAGCATGATATATTTATATAAATATAATCATCCCAATAACCTTGTCTGCAACATCGGGTGAGTTTTGGATGGGCAGCTCTTTCAGGGCTAGTTCATTGAACAATTATTGCTATGTTCCGACGTTTTGTAGGTGGATTAGATGCTACTAACCGCAACAAACGTGACTTGATCGTCTTTATAGAATATTTCATAATAAGTAGTATGGGATTGACTGAACGAAATGACCATGTAAGCACGCGACCAGTTGCACGATCCTTGCCGCTTTTCAGGTATGCGTATCCGGTAATCTTTTGTCACTTCATTCATATACGTGTACCCAGGAGGTGTATTTTCGTCTGACTCTGAAAGAGCTGTCTATCCAATGGTTACCCGGTGTTGCAAGCAAGGTTATTGTGACGAAAATACACTTCCTGGGTACAAGTATATGAATGAAGTGACAAAAGATTACCGGATACGCATGCCTAACAAGCGGTTAGGACCGCGAAAATGGTTGTGTGATTCCAGGGCAATTTTGTCCAGTCATTTATATACTACTTATTATGATGTATATATACATACAATACAATGCAATACAATTGCGAAGCTCGGCGAACAACTGAACACCAAGTTATACTACCCGAGCTACAAAACAACAATCAACACCGTTGTTTACAACATTGTCATATATATATATATATATGTATAAAGAATGATCGGATTTATAGAAAATACTCTGCCACATATTTGCTTACATCTTTCGTTACAACCTCTTTTAATCTAATTATGTTGCGACTGTAGTTGCATGTGGTGTTTTTAGGGCATCACCCATCTCAGTATACCTCATGGGCGTCTGCTTCTAGTTTATATTTCGTCTCACTGACTATATGGGATCTTGGTGACTTTTGTGTTGGTCTATCCAAGATGAACCTGAAGCTCGCATCCAAATAGCTAATGTTTTCTTCAAAATACTTCGTGAATATGTAAGGCAGCGTTTTAGCATCACGCGTTCTCCGTTCACACACCTCCTCCGACACACACACAATGATTTTATTCAGTGTCCCTCTTCCTCATCCACCAGTTCCTCTTCTGAACACATCTAAGTCCATACCGGGATATACAAGTGTTCTGTCTTTCACTAACGGCCGATTTTGTTTGAACCTGATACTCGTTGGGTTTGTATCCAAGAACGATGGTATTCTGAACAGTTCACTATTATCGGTTTTTGTTTATTTACCGCGCAATATACTGATCCCTGTTGGATACGCACATTGAGCATGTATCTGACCAACAAGCATTTGGCGAGATGGGTACATCGATTGATTACTCAATTTCATTTAGGTTGAATTTTTGTTCAGGCTTTTACGATTTTCGCAGTGCAAAACTCAACTAATAACAAGAGCGTTTAAAACCGTGGACAGCATTATTGTTACGTTTGTATAAAACGAAATGAATCCTGATCACATGGGGAGCTGTTAATTGACCACAATTGGATGATATTTACGTGAAAATAAACCGTTTCCTGAATACACCTTGTGTTATTAGACAAATTGCTCGTCAATTGGCAAGCATTTATGATCACTTGTGCGTGGAGCATCGGATTCAAAGTATAGTGGATTAGAAAGACTTGATGAAAGACATTTAAAGGCCAGTTGATCTACCCGCGCACTTTTCGGTATTCAGAAAGATGGCTTTGAGTGTGAACCTCCATGCTCGGCTTTTGCTTGAAAGCGCAACTATTTTCATCGAACAGAACTGACTTAACCTCTACATTTCCCTAGGACCCAAACGGTGCGGTATTTTCAAGTCTCGATTCATACACACAACGAAAGACACATTCTTAAGTCGCCGAATCCGGTTCTCACCAATCTACCTTGTCCGGAAGCCATCACTGTGGTACAATTATTCATTTCCCCCATTTTGTATATAACGCACTCCACTGTCTAGTTGTCCTCATAAAAATTTCAAGGATCACCAAACTGCTCCCTTTTAGGCTCTTCCAATTGGCGCCCCAGCATTCATTTTCACATGTTCTCACTAAACCGTCCAAAAATTATTGTTCGTATACCACTCCTAATACTCCGCTCTGTTTTGTTCTGTCCTCCCCAACTTGTTTCTATGCCTGGGCATATGAAATCGTTACTTATGGAGCGTGCAAACTAGATGGTGTTCCGGCCTGCGAGTGAAAACATTCATTTTATGGGTCTGCGAGGTTAGAAAAAGTCACAATCGTTTTGGTTCTGTGTGCATGCTAAGTCACTCCTCGCTGTGTGACGCTAGCTAGCTCTGGCAAAACAATATGGGCTCTTTGCGGGCGGCATGTTGAATTTGGCCGACCTCAAACACAGCATCTGTGGGAAAATCCACGTTCGTTTTGCGCAAATTTATTTCATTTGACAAGTTGCACCGGTGTGGGAAAGTGGTATTCTTGATGCTGCTGTTTCTGCGGTCGTTCTCTCTCTCTCTTTCTATCTCTTGTGGGTGCTTGTCCGACTGACAGCATATGTGAGTGCATCGGTCAGGCATGTGCATTCAGGAGCCCAGTTGGCTCGGTCTTTTTGTTCGTGTCTGTTTGCACCCCCTCCCGCCCCAAAAAATCAACATATTTTGACATTTCTGGACTGAGGTTTTCTACCGCAGTCGTTTCCCTCGCATTTTGTTTCTGTGCGAGTGAAGAAAGAACTTACTATGTGATGATAAACAGGTCAGAGTTCGCAGATGAACTCGCTTGAGGTCTAACAACCCATCTCTCTTTGAATGTGGTTACATTTGAGATGGCGGGGGACGTTATTTCGAATGAAGGCCCATCACGCAATATAGTAACAACCGTGTTTTCATTCGATTCCGGGTTAACTGCAAACCATTGTCCTAAGGGGTGCGCTAGTGCTTATACCCGGTAGATCAAAATCGGTCACCTGCAAAGTTGTTGATTTTTAACTCTCAAAGGGATACGTAGGAGAATGAGTGATATTTTTCAAACATGATCAGAAATGTCGGTCAGTTACTAAGCCCCATTCATACAATACAAATAGGGATTTGTGACCAACTATTCTCGCTTTTGGAATTATATGAAACTTTGGTAAAAATCCCATTGTCAGCCACCAACACCTTCTGCCCTAATCTGCAAGGAATTACTCAATCTCAATATCTGTCAGATACCAGAAACTGATCCATAATTTATTTCTCTAATGTGATAAACTTGGTCGTCTGAATCGAGGAGAACGACCAACTTGAATTGATACCTTGAAGAACAATGGTGATATCCAAGCTGTTTTCTATTTTACGTACCATTCTTGACAGCTCATGAAAAACCGATTCACTTTTTATATTTCTGGTGGCCAGTTAATTTGTAAAGGGCCTTCTGTTTTCTATTACCTGAAAGTATGATATGGTATGTGATCAGTTGATAAATGCATTTACTCAATTGTTTCTCCCGTCATAGAAAGTTCACCAAGAAAGACGTTCGAACATGATGCACATGATGCCTGAAGAGTTAATGAAATTCGCTCCGTTAACCCTCACAAGGGCCTAACAACTGAGTTCCCTTCAAACAGGTTGTCTTCAACCTACTGATCCTGACCGTGTCCTGATCGTGCGTATGCTTCCTGCTGGTTTGGAAAACATTTTAATATCTGTTTTGGATTTTATAGTTATTTTAAATACAAACTAGTTCACACACCAACCATCATTCATCTCTGTATCTCTCCCAGTCACCCCACGGCGTGTTTAAAATTATCCAATGCGTTATCCTTTATGGACGAGGTCAACGTCTATTTCAGCTCATACTACTCATTAGTAACAAATGTTACAATTCGTTTTTATCACTTTCAGGTGCAACACATGCATGAAGAGTTTCACCCAAATGTCCAATCTCCAGTCCCATCAAAGGCAGCATATGAAGGGCAAGCCGCATCGGTGTGAACAGTGTTTCATGTCCTTTGATAGCAAAGACGAACTGGATGTTCATGTTCAGGCTAAACACTCGGGTAATCGATATGCCAAGGTCAGTGATCTCGTGAACGCGGCGATTTTCCACTCGATTCATGAAAGGGGCTGTAAAGGTTTTTCTTACAGGTGGCTCCATTTCACCTGGTGTACTTCATCTTAAATTAGAGCTTTTTTTAGTATAATAGTTGCTGCGGTTGTACGATAGATCACCAATGGTATCTATTGCTTCCGAAGTTTTCGTGTGAATGGCTGATGATAAAACTGATAAAACTAATCGGAAAACTAGTTGGTACGCAAACCAAAATATTGCAGATTTGACTCGTTTTATTCCATTACTGTTTTCGAATTGAATACTCTTTTTACAAAATCACATCTTTTTAGCCGCAAGTATTTAAGTGATACAACTGGTAATCCAAAAGTTGCACTCCGTTCCCATACAAGAGCTACTGGTGTTCGCACGTTAGATTCTACTATCCTCAATAAACTCAAAAACGAAATGGCTTGTTGACGTGTCGCAGTTATTTTCTCTAGCAGAGGTTTTTCCAAAACTAATATTGAGGCCAGTATCTTGGACGCTTTGGTTTAAACACGATGTATCAATACCGGAAATATTAATTTGATCGATGTTCATCCCCGTTATCTTTCACCCGTAAGAATATATATATATATTCGTCACAATAACCTTGTTTGCAATACCGGGTAACCATTGGATAGACAGCTCTTTCAGAGCCAGTCCAATGAAGAATCAATGTTATAGTTCGATGTATATGAATGTATATGAAAGTATATCAACGCTGAGTAAACAGTAATAGCCAGTGACGCCGTTGACTGAAATGAACTGACCAAATTCATGAACGGTGTAATTTGGTGTATTTACCTTTAAGGTAAACCGAAGCAGGGAGTTCATTTTCTCCGATTGGGAAACGCAGCTGTTTTGTAGATAATGATGTTTATTCATTATCCTCCGTCATTATTACTTATTTGTTGTTACTTATTTGTTTATTGTACACCGTACAAAGCAGATCACTGTAAAATAAGTTACGCTCAGGTGTATATGTTGAATAAAAACGACGAGGTACACGTTATGTTAGCTAATGCCCGGGCAGATTCGTGTTGTCACTTTTTCTATTGTGTACGAAACTGATATACAATGTAATCATAATTGTTGATGAGATTTCACCAGTTTTCCATTTCCATTACTTAAAATGACTTGGATCGGATCAGCTTGTATAAAGTTAATCGGGTAGTGTTGAACATGGGCTATCTAGTCCTAGCGTTATTTGACCATCACATTAAAAGAGTAGAACGTTTGAGTTTCTTAACTAGGAACAATGTTCTTCTAAATTACTTTCATTGTATACAAGGGAAAAAATCAGTTTTCTTAAAAAAAACAGCTTTGATCGATCAAGAACTGCCTGAAGATGCGTATCGGAATAAAGCAGTTTTGGGTTTTCGCGGAGTGTATAAAATTTATATCATATTTCCTGTTTTCAGTCGCGGTTACTTATAAGTAGAAATGTAGTGTAAGCGATATTAGTCTTTCGTAATTTGCCTCCAGTCGAAATACTGAAGAAATTCAGCCAACCACACACTCCTCGTCGAACTGGATGCATGGAGGATTGGGCGTGTAGATGATGTTTGAAGGGCGATGAGTTACAACTAATGTTCCATCTTTTATATTACATAATTTGAGTTACAGCAGTTACACAGTATCATACTGCAAAAGGTAGAGAAGGGCAACCTTCACATAAGATCCGGTTTATTGATTCTGCGTTTAACGAGTGTAAGGTTGTAAGTTTGGGAAAAAAATGTGACGGCGTTCCACAAATCAGCTGTTCAGTGGAAACAAAGAAAATTGGAGCAAAGAAGTACGACATCTAGGAACCGGAATCTGATAGGGAGCACTAAATGCCTGTGTACCGGAGGTGGGGGGGGGGACGGACGGNNAAGGCAAGCACTGAAGAACAAAAAACAAAGTAGCGATTGTAGAGAGGGAAAAGTGAAGTTTGTGGGGACGGCGGAGTTTAACGACAAGGACCCCATCCGCATCCTTGTTGAATCAAATTTTTTCAAGGACTTCACATTTTTGTTGTCTTTCAGTACTCGTTTAATTAGTTTATTCCGTAAATATAAGAGTAAAAAATCCTAAGAAGAAGTGAACTTTCGGCTGTTTTGTGTGGATCTTTCTTTTGGTTTCACATGTGTCCTTTCGAAGGTTCATTTAGTATGACCTTTCCATTCAATCCCCTCCTAATAACACGGAAATATTTTAGTCACATTTGCAAAGTTTATCGTTATGAGTTAATAATTTAATATGATTGTTGTTATTACTATTACTATTTTTATCATTTGCTTTTTTATTTCTATTATGATAAAACATATTTTTATATTGGTGAATACTTTTTACATCAGTTTCGATAAGCGTTATGAATTGTATGTTCGATAATATAAACATCCTTTATATGCACTACAAATTTGTATTGCGAAATTTACTTACGGGGCTGTTTCGGACCCTTGATTTTGAAAAAGATGGATTCAATTAATCGAAAGAATGCTCAGTCACACCCTGTCTTCATATTTGTTATTTTACCGAATCCGAAAACTTCACTGGCTATTGTGATGTTTCCCATGACCGGCTGAATAAAGAGTTGCATTAGTTGAACAGTAGAAATCATGCTTTGGTGTAAAATATTAGAGTCAGGATGACTGATAGCGGTAAACGGATCAAAATACTCCCCGCCCTTACTTTACTGTGATCCGAAAGGAAAAAAACGAGCACAGAATCTACATGGTAAGGCAAGAATAGGGGGACAGTATTTTAGTGGGGCATTATTAACCGTCGCTCAACGATCCATGTATTTGCCCATTCATTTATCGTTCAACTTTTTCCATACTGTTTGTGTCATCATCAGGTACTTGTCTGTCCGATTTGTACAAAGAGTTACAACTCAGAGACCTATTTGGCCAAGCACATGGATCGTCACAAAGATGCGTCACAAACTGCTCAGAATGATCCATTGAATGCAAATCGTTCGGGCAGTTGTGTGGACGATCTGTTTCCCGTGGGTTTGCACAATCATCCAATGGCAATGGCTGCCGCCGCCTCAGCAGCTGCATTAAGTCGAAGCAATCCTGCGGATATGCACGGTGCAAATGCGCCTACCCGACACCATGGTGCTCATCATCACAGTTCGGTTGCACAACACAGCCAACAGCAACAACAGCAACAACAACAACAAGCTGCGTCGGCAGCAGCAGCAGCAGCTGTTGCAGCGGCGCACCGAGCCGCGGCCGTTGCGGCTGCTGCCGGTGGAAGCCGAGGTGACTTCTTCAATCCCGGTGTCTGCTCCATGTCTGACTCGAGAGTTGGCACTCCCGCAACTGGTCTGTGTCCACCCGGTGTGAATGGTGGAACAGGTGCTGGCACCAATCGGAATGATCCACTCAACTACAGTACCATGTCAGAACATGACCTGTTTCATCACTTACCGGCTAGTTTAAACACGTCTCATGCGGCACATCTTGTTGCCGCAGCCGCAGCTCAACAACAGCAACAGCAACAGCAACAACAACCAAATCAGTCTTTAGCGTCATTCGCAAAACTGCCACATATGACCAACCCGTTTAATGAGTTCCGGCCCCAGAACTTGTTCAGCCATTCTTCGGTGTCCATCAGCTCGCACTCGGCAAATTATCCACATTTGGATGCACATGGTGCGGGCGGACCCCTAGCACCACCACCACCTCTGCCACCACAGTCACACCCGAGTACATTGCACTCACACCCCCACCACGGTGGTTGCGGGAAGCGTTCTGACTTGGGACCCCTGGCTGCAACCCGAATGATGGGAATGGGTGCAAATCAGCATTCTCCATCACCCCATTCATACCAAAACTCACCGGGAAGCGGAGGAGCCATGGACCAGCAACTGTTAAATCTGACTCATGGATCCGTACCTTCGTCAAGTTCCCAACAAGCAGACATCAAACGAATGTGTAACACACCAATTGAATCTCCGCGACCACCTGAGGTAGAACAGTTTGGTGTAACAGACGATCGGCATAGCAGTTCAATGTCTGTGTCACAGCAATCACATCACCCACACCAACAACAGCAGCGACATCAGCAGCAGCAACAACAACAGCAGCACGCACATCAACATCGTCATAGACATCATCCTCTATTAGCCATGGAGGATCAGGTTGTGGCTGATTATACCGCTTTACCTCCACCACCTGCTCATCAGCACCGGGCTCCAATCGAACAGGATATGTGCCGCGGCAACGTAACATCTTCAGGTCATGAGCTTGAAAAGCCAATTTTTCAGACCCCAGACAACAGCTTTGTGGACACAATGAGTAGTTCAGATCCAGTACAGGCTAGTTCACCGGTTGATCAAACTATGGACTCGGTTGAAAAGCCCCGAGGGTTGGAACTGTCACTGGATGCTCGATCCTATATGATGCAGCCACCCCGCCTTTCTCCTCCAAACTCGCCGTTGGTCAATCCAGCAGATGCCTCAAACGAGAACGTCCTTAAATCAGACGAAATGCTGTCCAATCAGGCTACTGAATGTCGATCGGTCATAGACCCGGCGAACAGTGTCGCTGCTCGTGGAGAGGATGGACGTGCACTACTTGGTGTTACGGATGTGGGCAAAACTTCACGAAGCGCTCCCGCACCTAATGTGTACGACTTTTTACACCCAAATGACAAATCTACCATAAATTCTAATCAGCTGACCGATTCCAGCCGTAATGCTCCAGATACTAGACGGACCACAGATTCAGCTTATGAGATGGGTTCGCCGACTAGACGCGCACATGAGTTGAATCGATTTATACCTACAGTGGAAGAGCCTATGCGTTCGAGCGATCAATTGGCAGTGGTTGATCCAGGACCGAATTCGCCGCGAAATTCCCTCGAATGTACAACCGGTACCATGCGTGATGAAAGAGATCAAATCAAGTCATTGTCAACTCCACCGACTGAAGATGGAGAATCGGAGAATCATCGAATGGATAAATCGTTTGTGAGCAGCGGCGCTGCATCAACTGATGTGAAACCAGACCCTGGGACGCAACCGGTTTACGATTCTCCATCATCCTCACCTTTGGTTGCTCCGTGTTCGGAATCTGAATCGACAAACTCGTCTCCAGCTAGTCTGGGCAGTGGACGCCAGTATACGTCCGGAACACCCTCGTACACACAAACCCTAAACATGGCTCCATCCACACCATTAAATGTAATGGGTAGTGGAGATCCACAACTGAACAGATCTCGAGGTTGTGTGGACACATTGACCAATCCGTTCAATGCAACATGTTCCACTGTAGCGTCCACAGCCGCAGCAGCTGCAGCCGTGGCTGCTGCAATGGCTTCTGGTCAACAGCATGACATGTCAATTACAGCTCTTGACCGAAACTCCTCGACTCCATCTGTATTGCCCACACCACAGACCTTGTTCTCAATGTCCAACACGCTTCAGCGTCTTCAATCGGACAAAATGTCCGTAGACGGGGAGATGAGTAACGACGAAGACAGAAATGAGCTAAATCCGAGTCCAACACGAAACAAAGACGCCAATTTCTATTTTGATTCTCAGTGGCGTCAATTCAATCATTCGACCAATGAGGACAATCGGTCAAAATCGAAATCCATCGATCCGACTGAACTTTCCTCTCGTGGTGGTAGCAATGGAAATAGCAGTGTGCATTCAAAACACCATCATCATCACCACCACCATCACCATCATCATCAGTCTATTGTGGGTTCGAACAGACGGCGTCGACGTCATCACTATATTCCACAGCACATGCCGGTTGCAACGGACTCGGTGAACTTTGGTGACCTTCATTCATCCGCCGAAGCTGATCCTCACAACACGAACAAACCCACCTCATCCACCTGTTCAAGTGCATCCCCGGTGAACTATTTCCCTGCTCCATCTGCCCCGACCCAAGCCCAATCCCATCCCCATCCAAGTTCGGCCAATCCTCCGGTCTTTGAAACAAAAATAGGTGACGCAGTTAGTCCCACGTCGACTGCCGGTGGGACCAATGTCGGATCCGCTTTGGGTTATTCAAATTCGGCGAAATCGAATGCATTCTCAACGGAAAACATCTCCACTTCACCCTGCAAATTCTCCAATGTTCAATTTTAGGCCACAATTGTCATTTGATTGTATGCTGCCCATTGTGCACATCCTTCCCGACTTAAAACTGAGTTGCAAAGCGTTGGAAACTACTGATCTAGTTTTGTGAACTCTTCAAATAGCACACACTCCCTGTGAACCAATCCTTCCCACAAACACCCGTGCTCCTTCGATCTCCCCTTAAATCAAACAGAAAACACTTAGTCGGATAATAGATTCAACCTCCTGTATGCATCCGGTTACGAATCACCCAGTATCTCACACTTTCCGTCCCTCTTGTAACTTCCGGTGATGATCTGTTTTCGGCTGACGAGTTAATTTCTCCCTCACAAATGACTACCGTGATACTCTCCTCGATCGGTTGACTGATGAAGCTTGTTCGATCAACTAATCAATCAATCGTAAAGTCAATCAATCGTCCAATCAATCAAGCAATCAGTTAATCAATCAATTGAATACATCTGATTACACTCATCAATTTATGCAGATTGAACCAATTCAAGCAAGCACTTTATTCAATCCTCCTAATCCCTCGACTTTGAAAGAAATCAGTCCCATCTCAGTCTGCCCCCATCACCCGTCTCTCTCCCAAAGAAACCAAATGTGACCCAAATAGATTAATAATGTAATAAGCCTTTCGTCAACGTGACCAGCTTATGGCCTACCCGCATTTGTGACGTGCACCGGTCTTCAGAGTAAACCAACAACTCTCGGGATCGATTCGTTTTTCATGCACGTCCTACATGCTTCTGTTTTTCTTGTGCCCATGTGTCCGTCAAGCCTCATCGCCACCGCCCCTACAAGTACCACCACTACCACCACCACCACCACCACCACCACCACCACTACCAACAACACCAACACCACTATCATCATCATCATCATCATCATCACCATTTGAAACAATTGTCCATTCACCCGGTCCTGGATATACATATATATATATATATATATATATATACATATACAAAGAATGCATATGTGTATCCATCCATCCACTCACTCATTCACTCGCTCACCTGAAATTTGTACATTTGTTCTCTCACTCACTTTTGGTTTTTGTGTTCATTTTTGTTCTGTAATTGAACCGCGACACAGATAAAGTACACACATTCACTCACATATGCATTCTTTCGAACCCTCGACAGAATGACTGCAGCGTTGCCATCCTCATTTGCCAAACTTCATCTAAAACAGCCTTGCCATTTTTGTCATCTTGGTCATAATCGTTTCCATGCCTCACCTGCAACCTCACAGACCCTAGGCACACTCCTGGCCCCGTTATTACTGTTATTATTGTTATTGTTATTATTGATATTAAAATGAATATCATTACTACTATTATTACTATTATTATCATCACTACCATTTCTATAGACATCTTTCGTCATCATTATCGTCGTCGTTACGATCTTTCAAAACCCGGTTGCGTGTGTCTGACGTGGTTCTGTTCACCTCGGTTTTCCGCTATGCCCCGGCCAACTTTATGTGCCAGTCAAAATATTCCGACACTACTTCGCCGATCCTCATTCTCGACTTTGTCTACTCCGATCCAACCCACCCCTGAACGTGCCGTACATCCATTTACCCTGTGACTTCATACATTGTGTTTATTCGCAATTATTTTGATCCCTGTTCGTTGCTCCGTTACTTCTGCTTCATGTACCCTCTGTCTGTCTTTCTAGATGATTATCCGCCGTGACAGTTGTTGTGGTTGTGGTTCATATGCCATCCACTCCATCCTACAGTGGACACTCTTTAGGCGGCCACCACTGCCTTGCATTCAACTGTCAGAAACCAATCTTGGCACCAGTGATCGTCCTTTTTCACCTAATGACTGCAAATTTCTCTCCGTTTGCCACCCGGTTCTTTCCTCATTTCCCACATCCTTATCAAGCCGTCAGCCATTTCATGTGAGAATTAGTCATCTATCAGTGTTTTTACTCAATCAGCGTGTCAGGATTGGACAGCGTCTCACAGTACTCGTGACCTTCCCCCCTNNNGATACTCGTAAATGCAGCTATGTTGTGTCAATTCAGATGCATGCTCGAAGGTAACGGCTCGCTCGAACACGCTCACATACACACATTCAAACAAGAGCACCGAGCACGGTAACATGAGCTATGGAGAAAGTGAGAGAGTGAGTGTGCGGGAAATTGGAAGAACAAGTTACGTGATAAAGCAGCCCATAAGTCGAGCTGAACAGTGGCAACGTCAGTAAAAATAACAGTAATTCACACTCTTATTCTCTGTCAGTGTAATCCTTTCTACCAAAATTGCACTCGGTCTCTTTCTATCTATCGCTGTTTTACACACACAGGGAAAATTTGAGTGTATCGTCTGCCATTTCTCATCAGCTTGATATTTGCAGAAAGACAAACTTGAAAAGACGCAACCAAGTAGTCGTGTACGCAAACATCCACGTCAGAAAATCATACGGCCATTGTCTAACTCACGTAACTTGTTGTGGGGAGATGGATCATCGCCATTTGGAGGTAGAACAAACGGTGGGTTGAAGCAAGCACAAGTACCAACCAACTGACTGGTTCCAAACGCGCTCACATGCCAACAGCGAATAGCATTATTGATACGCCGATAATTGTATTTGTGTGTGTGTGTGTGTTTGAATCAGCACAGGTCGTCTTTCCTCCAAAACCCGCATTCTCTTCCATTATTCTCGCGCAGCCTACAAAATCGTCATTTTCTATCTTACTCTGACACACATACACACACACACAGTCCTGCTGCAGTGGGAAACGTGCTGTAGGTAAAGGCACAAAACGTGAATTTCTGGACTCATTCGGCCAGATCCCATCGTGATAATCAAGATTGTAGTATGCGGATTGTCTTACTGCCCACGATCCCGTTCAAGCTTGCCCTATCTTGTCCTCTCAGACAGCACCACTGATCGTCTCGCATTGTCGTATGCCATTACAGGGTTCTGGAATTATTGTTATTCAATATTCGTTTTGAATTATGCAATCCGGATCGATTTAATGGAACAGTGTTTTTACTCTTTTGTCATACAACCACTCTCGCCTCGTCCCGTCCCCACACCCACGACCCATCTCTGTTCATACGCACCTTGAATAAGCATGTACACGTTGCATCGATATATGTATGTATGTGTGCAGGATTGTGCCAGTGAATGTTCTGGTTGACTAACTGATGTTTTTGTCGATAGAGCAATGAGGTGGTTGGTTGATTTAAGAGTGCGTGATCGCACGAATCTGTTCTTATCCTATTTTTTCATCCGCTTCACCGATCCGAACACAGATTTATCACATATTTTTGTGTTGCTTTTCCCTTCCCCACTCTGTTTCTCTGTGAACCACGCAATTCTCATCACTTTCTTTGGTCCGTTCATTTGTTTTTGTGTCAGCTTGTCTCACAGCAATAACGTTTGCATGCTCTACACGGAGAATTTCTCTCTCTCTCTCCATCCCCTCTCCCTCATCGTACTCAGTCGGTCATGCTCACTTTCAGCCTCATTTTCATGGACAGTTTAGGTGAAATTTTCAATCCAGTACAGCCCCCGAAATTGCTATTTTTGTTTTGTCATCCTTGATCAAATGGGTTTCATCTTTTTTTGTGTGTGGGTGGTGTTAGTCAACACATTCACGTATCCGGGACCTGTTACCCCTGTATGCTGCAGACCGAGTTTCGTTGCATAACTGTTCTTATTTTCTCAATTCGCCCTTCATCCCCGGTGTCACAAATGGGAACCTATAGTCCGTCATTTCTTTCATTCTCTGCTGGACTTCGTTATTNTAGGTATTTGTGTAATATCCTAACATTTCACTTTCTCTCATCCCCGTCTGCCAAACGTACTCACCAAATTCAAGCGATACCGAAGCACGTCCTTTTTCCACACATTAAACTCGAATTTTATTGTCTTATGCACGACTACCGATCCGGTTCATTTGTTGCTATTCTTGGACTTCTACCATACTTTGCTTGTTCTTATTAGATTTCACCTGTTTTTATTCTTTTCGAAATTACTCATTCATTTAGTCATTCAATTAATTTATCGGTCTGTCTGCCAGTCTCTTAGGTTGCCTGTCGGTTTGTTTGCTCAATCAGTCAAACATCTTTATCTGGTTTTCTGTGTGATCATTTTCCTCCGTCCTCTTCGCAGCAAGATCCACACAAAACAGACATACCTACGAGTTCACTTATTCCCCATTTTCCTGTGCAATCTCCCACCCTTAACAAAGACAAGGAAATTTTGATGCAATCGACTTTCTTCGTTTTCTTTCTCCTCTCGCATCATGCCGTGGTCGAGGCGAAAATTATTTCCTCCTTGTTTTTTCTTTGCCGTTGCCTTCGTCTGCCTGATTGTGTCTCTTTGACCCCATTCTGGCTCCTCTCTCTCTCTCTCTCTCTCTCTCTCTCTCTCTCTCTCTCTCGACACCGCACACTGCTCTCGTCCCATGTTCGTCTCTGTCTGAAGGTCTCCACATCTGTAAAAGAGGAACAGAGTGTCCGTGGGACTGGGTTGATCTTCACAGATGGGGCGTTGCCCGCACGCTGATTTCATAGAGGGTGCCGAAGACTGGTGAAGGTGCATCCACACATAAACACATTCACACACGAATCCGGTTTCTTAATTCCACTGCTTTTCCTCCTTTGGTTCTATCTTTGTCTTTTTTTCTTTATCATCGTTAGATTATTGAATGTTCCTGCTGTGGATAAACCACTGGCACTGCAGCGAAGCAACTGGATGTGGATATGTGTGTTTTAAGAGAAGGACTTTATTTTTGCTTTCATTGTGTATTCAGATTCTCTCCCTCCACTGTTTTTACCTAGGCTTACTGTTTTCTAATGGTCCAATCGTCTCCAGGGAAGGAGTTTGCTTGAATGTTCGATCTCTGCCGTTCATTCGCTGTCAATGACCACCAGCAAGCCGTACCCGACAGTGACCACTCCTTTTCCTCTTAAATCTTACTCGTTCCTCCTTCACAACTGTGTGCACGCACGGTGTGTGATCTTTCTTCTCCCCTCTCATG